CCCTGCAACAACCACGACATCTACGGTTGCCGCCGCAGCCCCTCTGCTGGGGCCCCGGGCCCTCGCGCTTGCTTGCACAGCGGTACCTGCCAACGGCCACGCACATGGGTTCTACACACGTTACTTGCAGACTTTCTCAAACAAGTCTCATCCCATGCATCTCTTCTACGCTTTCTGGTTCCGACCTGTCCTCTGCTAGCTGCACCTGGATTCCACACAACTTGGTCTGCCTTGTTTACTCATAAGGCCAACGTTTTGCTCTTTGGCACCCAGCAAGCCGACACTGCGCCTGGTGTGCAGCTGCCGCGTTGTCCGGCGCCCGACCTCCGTCCGTCTGAGCAACGCTCTGACCTTCGCGCAGGCAACGCCCGTGCTGACGGCGCTAGCGATGTGTCGGCGCGCGACGGCTCTTATTGGAAGGCTTTGCCGATGCTTTGCGGCGAGCCGATCTAGCGTCACAACCCGCCCGGTACTGCATCTCCTCAGTGAATGGGTCCAGCGAATACTTCAGTTTCTGCTGGTCGGCCGTTTCCAACAAGCGATTCCGGAGGTGCTCGCTTGCCCACAGGCCATTCATGTGCACGGCCACCCCACGCCACACGGCTTTTGTCTGGGCAGGTGTGGCGTCGACGGCGCGCAACTCTTCTTGCAAGCCACCCAGCATGAACTTCAGCACCGCCGTTGCATACGCCGTCATGGTGAGGCTTTGGCTTGCCCCGTCTGCGCTTCGCACTCTGCAGTCGCCCGGCGCGTGCAATTGGGTCCGGACTTGCTCCTCGCCGGTGAAGGTCGCCCAGTCACTGCCGAAGTCATTGGTTCGGGTGCGCACGGCTGCCAACCGCGACGGCACCTCTGCCACATTGCCGAGTTCGGCCCGGAAACGCGCCAGGTCGTCGCCGGCAGCCGCCGCCGCCACTGCGGCCACTTGTCGGCAGAACGCCACTTCTTTGCCTGGCAGAGCGAGCACTTAGAACGAGCCAGCCTAAGATCTATTCAAGCAACATGTCTCCGACCCGAATATGTCGTCCTATCGTGTCGAAGCCTATGACGCTTGCCTGAGCAACGCTCTGGCTGCCTAGCGCCTCCGCTGCTTAGCGGCATGCACACCATTTCCTACAACTCCCGGATCCTGCCTCCATCCTGCAGGAATGCCGTTGTCAGCAACTCGGCTGCCGTCGGCCGCGGGAGCGCCGCGCGCGCGGCAGTCAGACGCGCCGCTGCATCTCCCCGGGCCCAAGCCGGCGGCGCGCCTGCCCACACGCCCGCCACCTCGTCCGCCACGGCCGCCGCCTCGACCCCCACCGCCGGCGTTGCTTCCGTTCGACGGCCCAGTCCACCTGCGGCATGGTTCACGAAGTGCTCCCGCACTTGGTCAGCTCCTTGGAAGCAATAGGTGCGTCGCCGGGTCGTTTTGCAATACCGACAGCTCAGCCACCCTTCTGGGCGCCGCTTGGAGAGGCACAACCCCAAGCCAACGAAAGTGCGCACTTCCGCTTCGGTCAACGCCTCGTAGTACGTGGTTCTGGCGATGCCCAAAATCTCGGTCAGGCCTTCTTCCGTCAAGTCCTCTTCCAGTTGCTCTTCCAACGCCTGGCTACATGAATGCTGCTGGCTGACTCGGTGTGTGCCTACGCCGGCCCTGCCTGGTCTTCGGCTGCCGTGGCTTCCGCCGTGTCCATGGGCTCTGCCGTCGACGCTGCCTACCACGCAGCTGCATGCCGGGTCCCCGCTCCACCGCCCAGCTTTTCTCTGTTCTACCTTCCTCTAGCTCGTCTGTTGCATGACGTCCTTCCCCAACAACTCTGATCCCTCCAACATCCGCATGTAACCACAACTTTTCACCACTACTTCAGCTGGGTTGCCTTGATTTCCTCCCCCCCTGCCTCGGCTGCCGCGGCCTCCTGCCCCGCCTCCGTCGCCGCGTTCGCAAACGCCTGCTTCGCGTCGGCCACTGCCAGGACAACTTCCTTGAAACCGTGCTGCCAATGCCGTGCTCGCGTTGCAGCGTACACTTCTCTTCCACCCGCCAGATGCATGAAATGGCCGTCGACCGGCATGCTGACGTGACAGCTGTCCGTCCACAGCTGCCCCTTTGGGCCGGTATAGCCCTTCTGGAGCCCTTCTGGAGCACTTCTTCAAAGAGATAGATCGGACCCCAACGCTCCGAGAAGTTCCACCCTGGTTGTATGCCCTGCTGCAAGGATTGCGCGAGAGCCTCCCACAACTGCTCGCAAAACAAAAGGTATCGGCTTCGTAGCGAGGCCTGGCTCGTTGTAAGCACCTTTTGCACTGCATGTGTCAAGAGCGGATGCGACTTGCTTGCGTGCCAGATGTTGCCCTGGTAGATGTGTCGCTTGTTTGCCCCGATGCTCATCACCAAGTACGGCGTCGTTGCCAAACTGAGCGGTGCAGCCTGCACGGACGGCTGAGCAACGCTCTGACTTCCGGCGGCCGCGGGCGGTCCGAGCGGCTGAGCAACGCTCTGCCGTGCCAATTGGCAAGTCTGAGCAACGCTCCGACCCTCGGCCGTCTGATCGCCCGCCGCGAGAATTGCTTGCAATGTCTCTGCCCACGGCCGCGCCAAAGCCATCTTGATGTCCAAGTAGTTCCCTCCGTTTTGACGGAGTCTGATGTACCTCCACATATCACAGCGGTGGCTCCCTCGTTGATAGCTCTCGTACTTTTCTTTCAGCCACGCGCCGCCCAAAGCGACCACATCGGCCACGCACTGCTCATCGTCCACGTAGATGCGCCGGAGCCGGCCGATGTGGCGCTCGCACATCTCGCGAGCTGGTGCATGGTCTTGCTTGTACGTCTGATACAGGACGGCCGGCGGCTCTTCCAACCAAGCTGCCACCTGCACAAAAGGCGGCTTGTCCAAGACCTGGCGCGCGGGGGATCGACCCACACCGTCTCCGTACCCGAGACCATATGACGGTCGCTTGCCCCCTAGTCCTTCCCAACCCTCCCTTTCGTCGGCCTGTGTCAACGCCTCCCGCACGAACTCTCGCCACGTCCTGGCGGCTGTCAACGTTTTGGCGGCAAAGCATTCCAGCGGCAACGTCGCCCCATCACAGTTCCAGCCGCAGCATAGGACTACATCCAGCGTATCGCGAGGCCGCACCGGGAACGCATGCACGGCCGCAGCCACCACATCCTCCATGCCCTCGGCCGCCACTGAAGGTTGGAAATGCAAGGTCTGGCTTTGCCCACCGTACCGCGTTCCGGCACTGTCCATGATCGACGGGCCCGCTTCTGCGACGCTCCATTCTTTCCGTGCTTGCACCAGGCTACCGTACCTACGACCTGGGACGGACCGCTCGGCAGGGACTGCCCGGCAGCACACCGGCCGATCGCCGTTGATGTCGCCAAAGAAGCCCTCCATCAAAGCTGCTTTCAGCAGCCACAAGATGCTCACCTTGGCTTGGCCGTCCTTCACCAAACTTCCGCCACACGAAATGCAAGCCACCGTGCCATTGCGGCGATCTGCCAGTCCCGCACCCCTTGCTGCTTGGTTGCCGGCTTCAAGCCAGCCAAAGCCGGTGCTATCCACCAGCACCAAGCGGGATAGCGCCATGAGTCTCGCGCGGCCGCTTGTGGGTTTGCCTCGCGCTGCAACGCTGCGCACCGCTCTGGCCGTGCTTGAGCCAAACTCTGGCGGGTCCATGTTCATCATCAACTCCTTTGAGCCGTTTGGTCTCTGACACTTGCTGTTCGTCCCTCCCCGTTCACTCCGCAAGCCGTTCCTCGTTTGCTTTCTCGTCGCATTGTGTTTGTCCGTCCTCTTCTTGCCCGATGCCCTTCCAAACACGCCGGCCTTGCTCACCGCCCTTTTGTGATTGGCCTCAACTGCACGTAGCAAACACTTCACAAGCAAAGGCACTGCTTCAGGCAGTGTCTTGGGCGCTTCACTGTACGCATGCCGTTCCCCCGCTGCCGCGCCCCTTTTTCAATTTTGCGCAACAACTCACCGGCAAACCCCCGCCACGCACGCGCGGTCGGCGGGCCCGCACGCGCCGAGCGGCTGAGCAACGCTCTGCCATGCCATGGGCACATCTGAGCAACGCTCTGACTCTCGGCCGGGCGGCCTACGCGCCTGTCCCGGTCGCCGCTGCCTTACTGTCCCGCTTCCTCTTCCGTCTCGTCCGACTGGTCCGCCGCGCTGTGCTCGGCGGGCTCGGCGCCGTTGCCGCGTCGCCCGGAGCCGACCGCTCCAACTGCCGCTGCCGCAGCAGCGCCTCGTCCGCCACGCGCTTGGCCGCGGCTGCTTCCTCTCGCGCTGCCCTGGCTGCCTCCAGCGCAGTTTGTGCCGCCAGCCAATTTCTCCACGACCAGCGCTCCAAGTATGCCACTGTACTCTGTAACTGGCTGACCTCTGCTTGCAGCATCGCCACCGCTGCGTCCGCCATGGCGCGGCCTGCGATCCGTGACTTCACCCACAGGCTCCGGCTAACACGTCCTCTTTCACACCTGCCTTGACCCTTCTTTGGCTGCGGTCCCTCATTGCGGACACGCTTTGCGGCACGATCTTGGAACCGGTTCCAACTGAGGTCCTGACCTTGCGCTCGTTTTCATAGCCTTCTCCGTCCGTCCATTTGCCCGCCTGCCGCTGCCGTCGGTGCAGCCCCGGTTTTTCGCGCCTTTTGTTCCCCGCGGCCTGGCCGCATTTGCCTACGCCGGCCATGCTTCTACTCTCTTCTCCCACCCCCGCGCCCGTTTGCGCTCACCGTTTCTTTTCCCTCTGCCGCTACCACGGCTGCCTTCCGTCCTTCATATTACGGCTGTCTCACGGCCAAGTCGCTGCTGTGGCCCACGCTACTGCCAATAGCAATGCCTGCGCCGGGCGGCTGAGCAACGCTCTTCCGTGCCTTGCGGCAAGTCTGAGCAACGCTCTGACCCCCAGCCGTCAGCTTGCTTCTTTGCCAGCGCGGCCCGCCGAAACAATCGGCCGCTGAGAGTTCCATAAACCCTGCCCGCCTTACTTCTCATTGCCTCTGCTCTTACCGGCTGCCGTCCTCCTCTTCTTCATTCTCTGCCGGTGACACTGCCGGCGAACTGACGCCGTCTGCCGGCCCACTGTCACTGGCATCGCCCGTCGGGTGCCCAATGCGGAGCTGCCGACATGGTCGCCCCGGGCGGGGATCAGGGCCACAAATGAGGACGAAGCCGCTTTCATACAGCCACAGGCGGCCTCCTTCTTCTTGCCGATTGGGTAATGGCGCCTTCGTTTCTGCGAAGAACAAAATCACTTGCATTCCATCTGCCAAGCCGTCTTCCTCTGCCACGGCTCCGTGCAACATGGTCGGAATTTTCCAGCCATCCTCCGTGCAAAGCTCGAGGCTGCGCATGCCGATGTCGTCCTGACTGAACACTAACTCCTTCATATTGCCTATGGTCCCGCGGACACATGTCGTCACCCCGGGCTCGCGCAACGCGCGGCTGTCTTGCAGCAGCGCCTGCGGCGGTGGGCGGATCGCACAGATTCCGCTGCCCCCGCTCGGCAGCACTTTGCTGCGCCCCGTTGATTGCAAACGCTTCAGCGCTGGCACCGTCTTGTTGCGATAGGCCGCCACCTGCAACCCAGCCAAGGCGACGCCCGGGAAGTGCCCGTCGGGCGCTTCTTGCAGCCACCGGCGTGCTGCCGGATGCACCTGCTCGGCTTTCTCGGCCCACACCGTCACTTGCACCATGCCCGACGAGTCGGCCACCAGCAAATTGCAAACCGACTTCGCTTCTGTCCTGCCTCGATTCTGCACTTCCGCCCGGTGGGTGCTCTCATCCACCAGCAGCAGATAGCCCACGACGCTCACCTCGTCTCGCACCTGCCGCCCATGCACTTCGGCCACGGACCGCAACTCGGCTGCGGCCGGTCGGCGGGCATCGCTTCGCCGCCGCCGCTTCGGTGTGTTCGCCATGGCGGGCTCCGCGGCCATGCTTGGCCTCCGGTCTGCTGTCCTGAGTCTCTACAGGCAGAACCCTTCCGTCCTCCGTCTGCGCCACGCTCTGACGCTCACTTGAGCAACGCTCGGGTGTCCAACATGTTCGACTTTTCGCCCGTGCTTGGTGCAGCTACCTGCAAAGAAACTAATGCTATATATCTCAACAGGCACGGACAATCACCTTCTTGGACCATTACTTCGACTATAAATCCTGCTATTTTCCATTGCAACCTTCAATTCCCACGGGGAAGAGACTCAACTTGCGGGTAACTCTGACCGGTTCGTTGCACATACAAGACCCCTCCGTCGCTACATCTGGACCTCTGCCCTGTGCATCCAAACACCCCAGGTAGACGGCTGCGCATGGCTCCAGCCCTCGCCAAAGCAACACTCTAGCTAACCGACACGTCCAGTCCGTGCCTCGAAACCTTCCTTGCCCAGCCAGACCGGCTCCTTCCCGATGCCGTTTCGTTTCCCCCTTGCCTCCGCCGGCCACCTCCTGGGCGCCGCGTTCGGGCGCCGTCAGCATCACCTGGCGGCCGGTTGCCCGCCCCTCGCACGCTCCACTCCGTGCTATCGCACTGCCCGCCAACCCTCTCCGCCCGCGTCTGCTCCTTCGTCCGCCCCTTTTTCCGCGCTTCGTTTGGTCTCCTTTCGACCCGGCCGGCGTTCGTTGCAGTCGGCCTGAGCAACGCTCCGGCACAGCACCTGGGCAACGCCCTGGCGGACCGCATGGCTGCCTTTTTCCGCCCGTCCGCCCGAGCGGGGCATCGCCGCGCCGCATCGGCAGCGCCGTCGGTGACCGCGGCCGGCTCCTCACCGCCCATGCTCCGGGCACCGACATCGTGCCCACCGCTGTCGGCCGCTCGCGGGGGTGCTCCACTTGTGTTCCCGCGCCCATCCAACTGGCGTGTCGCCGTTGCCCGCCTGGGTGATGGCGACCCGGCCACACCAACTGCACTTCAGCACGTAAAACCACTGGCTCCTAGCATCCCCCACTTCGTAGCTTCGCGTCTCTGCCAAGCCCCGCGGCAAGATGCCGGCATAGTACGGCGCCCCGCCGCTGACCGCCACTTCCGTCACTTTGGCGATGGCCGGATCCGTTGGTCCGTCTCTGGCCTCCAACTTCTTCTCGGGCAGCGCCGCTAGTCTCAGTTGGAGCGCCTGCCGTTGGTGCACGGGTAGCAGGAGCGCGGTTGCTACGAGGGACCGGGTCTCCGGGTCCAACCGCCCCAAGGCCGTGCCTACGTCCCATACCTCTTCGTCTGTGAGTGTCCTTGCCGCGTCGGTCAACGCCAGCGCCCCGCCCGCTGCCGTCGCCTCTGCCATTGCACCGCGGTCCGGCGCGTGCTCTAACACTCGCCTTGAGCAACGCTCTAGCTGACGTAAGTTGCTATCCTCCCGACCACCCGTTTCAAGTCGAGTCGCAGCCACGTCCGTCCCACTACCCTGCTGTCAAACGCCCTTGGCGCAAAACATGCCCGCTCGACGGCTGCCTCCACGCTGCATGCGGTTCGCCACCTGGCGCCACACTGCTCTCACGCAAGTCATGCAAGCAACGCTCTAGCTCTTCTCGACCCAAGCCCCTTCCAAACCAGCTAGCTTGACTGTTAACCTACTTTGAGCCGGGTTGACTCTTCGCCTTGGTCGGTCTGAGCAACGCTCTGACACTCGCTTGAGCAACGCTCCAGCTGACCAAAGCTACCGCCCCCTGCCCTTACACATGACGTTCTCCACCCTTGCCATGCCGTTGTGAAACCATGCCACATCGGATCGCCGACGTTGCTTCTCTAAACATGCCCTTCCAAACTAGCCGGGTTGACACTTGGCCTTCTGCTGTGCCACCCTGCCACACTGGATCGGTACCTGGCAAACAGGCCGTAGCAAGCAACTGTGTGCATGTGGCTTCCATCGCATGCCCCACCCACGGATGTCATTTTGTCCTTCAATATGTCAGTGATAGTCTATGTCACAACCTGCCTAGCAGGGTCCGGCGACACGGACTGCGGCGTTTCTTATGCTCTTGCCCTCTCATGACGACTGCCTAAATAACCCCCTTGCTACCGACGCGCACGCCTTTTTTCTCTTCCGCAGGGTGCTTCTTGCACGCGTTCAGTTTGAGTTTCTTTCCTAGTTGGCGGGGCTGCGTCCCGAGCAACGCTCCGGCGCGCGCCTGGGCAACGCCCTGGTTGCAGCCCGCTCCGGTTCAGCTAGTGCAGGGAAACACTTGTCGCAAGCCAGTGTCGTACGTGCCTTCCGCGGAGCACGACCTCTTGCACCATGCCCACGCGCCTGCAGCACTTGGCGCGACTTCCTCGCGCGCAGGATCCGAACCACCCGCTCGGTCGATTCTTGCCGCCCACCATGCCTTTCTGCTGCACACAGCACCGAGACCGAGAGCAGCCGCGACCGACAACACCACATGACGGTTGAAGACCACCGAACCTGCAGAAAGTCCTCTGGACACACGGACTCACGACTTTCTACAGGGTCGGTGGTCGGCTCTCTCATGCGTCCTCCGTGGGCAACGATACCTTCCTGTTGTCGATTGCGACTGCCGTCGGTCGCCTGCGCTGTCAGCCCGAATGCTTGTCGCCATGCCTGCAGCTCAGCCGCCTCAGCCACACACATGGCAAGGCATCCGTCAACCTCGGCTCCCTTCTCTTGGAAGCGATCTAGACACCGTGGCCACTCCCTTGCTGTCGCATCGTATCACTGCCGTTCTCGTCGCAATTCCTCGATGCGCGGGAGTACATCCACGGACACTGAAGTATGTTCTTGCTCCTCACCGAGCAAGCTTGCGATGTAAACCCTCGCGCGGTCTCCCCACCACCCAACCTCCTGCGCCGATTCCAGTGTCCACTCGGCGCAGGCTCCGGCCGCGACTACCTTCATCTTCTGAAGCTGATCACCGCCGAAGCCTGCTCCGACTGACACCGGCAACTGTAACTCACATAGTCTCGCTGCAGCTACACGTTGGCTTCGCTGCCCCACGTGGCACTTAAATGGTTTCCCGCGGCTTCGTTTTGTTCCCCCTCACCTCTTACAGCAGCAACCACAAAGGAGAGCTACGACGCCAGTCCTGCCAGCTGCCTTCGCGCTTCCAGCTGCGAATTGGCTGACCTCTGCTTGCAGGACTACCGCCGCTACATCCGACATGGCGCGGCCGGCTATCCATTACCTCACCACTCGGCTACTGCCGTAACATCAACTGTCACACTTGCCTTGACTTTCCTTGGCTGCGCTCCGTTGTCCGTCCCACTACCCTGCTGTCAAACGCCCTTGGCGCAAAACATGCCCGCTCGACGGCTGCCTCCACGCTGCATGCGGTTCGCCACCTGGCGCCACACTGCTCTCACGCAAGTCATGCAGGCAACGCTCTAGCTCTTCTCGACCCAAGCCCCTTCCAAACTAGCCAGCTTGACAGTTCACCTACTTTGGGCCGGGTTGACCGTTCGCCTTGGTCGGTCTGAGCAACGCTCTGACACTCGCTTGAGCAACGCCCCAGCTGACCAAAGCTACCGCCCCCTGCCCTTACACGTGCCGTTTTCCGCACTTGCCATACCGTTGTGGCTTCTCTAAACATGCCGTTCCAAACCAGCCGGGTTGACACTTGGCCTTCTCTACTCTAGCTGACCAAAGCCTCTTGCTTCAGCAACGCTCTAGCTGACCGGGGCTTCACACTAGCTACTCCGGACACTTCTTCTCTCCGGGCCGCTTCCACAGAGGCTGCGTTCACTGTACAGCTTCCACCGTCTTTCCCGTCGCTACATGTGCTGGCCTGCCGCTGCTCTGTGTGCGACCCCGTTACTCGACACTCCTTTCCCCGCTGCCCAGTCACACTTGCATCACTCAACTCGGCGTCGCCTGTCTTCATCCCCTTCCGCACTTCTTGGTTGTCGCCTCTTTTTCTCTTTTCTTTCAGCGCCACTGTGGACGTCTGTCTCCCGAGCAACGCACCGAGGCAACCGATACTTGCCGACGGCAAAAAACTCGACCCAAAAAAAAAAAAACACGGCCGGGCGGCTGCGCAACGCTCTGCCGTGCCTTGTGGCAAGTCTGAGCAACGCTCTGACCCCCAGCCGCTTGCCCTGCTGTTGTGAAACGTGCCCCGCCGGATCGCCTACGTTTGTTCTCTACCGCCCCCATGCCAAATGGGCTTGCCTGTCTGCGACCCCGTTGCTCGACACTCCTTTCCCCGCTGCCCAGTCACCCTTGCGTCACCCAACTCTGCGTCGCCTGTCTTCATCCCCTTCCGCACTTCTTGGCTGTCGCCTCTTTTTCTCTTTTCTTCCAACGCCACTGTAGACGTCTGTCTCCCGAGCAACGCACGGAGGCAACCGATACTTGCCGACGGCAAAAAACTCCACCTAAAAAAAAAAAACCGGCCGGGCGGCTGAGCAACGCTCTGCCGTGCCTTGCGGCAAGTCTGAGCAACGCTCTGACCCCCAGCCGTCAAATCCGTGCCTCGGCGCTCACCCGCTTCTAACACCTTGCCCTGCTGTTGTGAAACGTGCCACGCCGGATCGCCTACGTTGGTTCTCTACCGCACACATGCCACATGGGCTTGCCTGCGGCGGTTTTTCAACCATGCCCTTCAAAACACGCCGGGTTGACCGCTGGCCTTCTCGAATCGGTCCGGGCAACGCGCTCACGTTACTTGACCCCGACTGTCTCTCACTACGACTTCAACAGGCCATGACGGAAACAGTGTTCACGGTCCACCTGCCGTGCTCTACCATGCCCCAGATGCAGACCCCTCAAACCATGCCGGGTTGACCGTTCACCTAGCTGCATCTGCGCAACGCTCTGACGCTTGCTTGGGCCACACTCTCGCTGAACCCGCCTTCTGGTGGGCTAATCTAACATTCACTGTAAACATATTTCTTCCCTTGGTCACCAAGCGCTTGCGACGGACTGTCTGAGCAACACTCTCACGCTCGCCTGAGTGCGCCACGCGGTGACCCTCACTTAACCGACCCTCTAGCTGACCACGACTTCAACCCTGCTCCGTCGGAGACGACCGACGTTCACTCTCAACCGGCTTAGCTCAAACGTGCCAAATAAACATGCCTGTCAAACTCTGCCGGGGTGACCGTTCGCCGTGGTCGGTCTGAGCGACGCTCTGACGCTTGCTTGAGCAACGCTCTAGCTGACCCAGGCTTCGGCTGCGCAACAACAACGGCAACAACAACAGCAACAACAACACCAACAACAACAACAACGACGACAACAACAACGACAACAACAACAACAACAAAAACAACAACAACAACAACACCAACACCAACCCCAACCCACCAACTCCACACTTTCCAACCCAACCCACGCCCAACCAACCCCGGCCCACCAACCCCAAACCCAAAAGCCCAACCACCACTCACCATCTCAACCCACCAACCCCCAACCTTCCAGCGCAAACCCACCTTCCAGCACAACCCACAACCAACCAACCCCAACCCACCAACCCCGCAGCACCATCCACCACTGACCTACCCCAACCCACCCATTCTATGCCTGCCAACACCCAACGCGACCGACCGACCCCAACCCACCCACTCCAAGCCCAAAGGCACCCACCTGACCAACCCCCACCCACCAACTCAACTGCTCCTACTACTACTCCTACTACTACTACTACTACTCCGCCTACGACTGCTACTACTCCTACTCCTACTCCTCCTACTACTACTCCTACTCCTACTACTGCTACTACTACTACTACTGCTACTACCCCTACTACTACACCTACTCCGACTACACTCCCACCACGACGACCACGACACCGGCAACGGCGCTCACCCCACCACTACCCCCCCCCCCCCCCCCACCACCCTCACCCAGCACCGACCACCTGCCACATCAACGACACCGCCTCTGGCCACGACGCCGACAGGGCCTACCATCACCGCAATCGCACCCATCGAAACAGCTGGCCTTCCAGAATCACACCCGCCCGCCGGTGCCGATGCTGCCGGGGCCCGCCCAGGTATCTCTCGGCGTCCCTTCGGACGCCGATGCTGCCGGGCATGACCCCAGGTTCCTTCGGCAGCCGAACCCGACCCCCGCAGGATCGGCGCACACCCAGCAAGGCGCCTTAGCGCATCGCCCTTGCTGTCATACCCGGCGTCCCGGGCGTTGGCCCCAAGTGTGCGGAGCGGTGTGTCCCCGCACCACCGGCCACCGTGGTGACAGCCGCCCATGCACTGCAGTTGCACGGTCCCGCTGCTCTGGTCCGGGGTTACAACCACAACAACTACAACAACGACAACAACAACAACAACAGCAACAACAACAACAACAACAACAACAACAACACCAACAGCAACACCAACAACAACAACAACAACAACAACAACAACAACAACAACAACAACAACAACAACAACAACAACAACAACAACAACAACACCAACACCAACACCAACACCAACACCAACACCAACAGCAACACCAGCTCGGGCTGCCGGGTCTGCTTTTGCCGGCCCGGCTGTCAGGCGTAAGCCTCATAAATCCGGCCAGGGGCCCCCTGGCCGTGGCATAGCCGAAGGCGTTTCTCTCCTCTCCGTAGGAGAGAGGGGCCGCCGCCCCAGCCGCAGACCCACCCGGTAGGGCCAAAAACTGTCGCGTTTTACGGTGTTTTGTGCTCTTCCCACTTTTTGCAACTTTTCGGATCTTATGGTTCAAGATGGGTCAACATGGGCCAACATAGGCCTCAAGATGGGCCAACATAGGCCTCAAGATGGGCCAACATAGCCCCAAGATGGGCCAACATAGCCCCAAGATGGGCCAACATAGCTCCAAGATGGGCCAACATAGCCCCAAGATGGGCCAACATAGCCCCAAGATGGGCCCACATTGCCCTCAAGATACGCCAACATAGCCCCAAGATGGGCCCACATAGCCCCAAGATAGGCCGCCGACCATCAACATATCCTGCGTTTTACAGTGATTTTTTGCTGTTCCCATTTTTCGGATCCTTTGGCTCAACATGGGCCAACATGAGGCCAACATAGGCCAACATAGCCACAAGATGGGCCCACATTGCCCGCAAGATAGGCCAACATACGCCAACATAGGCCAACATAGCCACACAATGGGCCTACATAGTTGGGCCCCTGGCCGGCTGTCGCGCGTAAGCGCTTAAATATATATATATATATACATACGTATACAAATATATACATCGGTAATATCTGCATATATCAGCCTCAAATTGTCTCGCCTGGTCGACAGCTGCATCTTTTCCCTGCCGTCGGAGAAGACCTGTCACGACATGTCAAGATGCTGAGAATCAAGTCACGAAAGATGAAGAAAGATACGAATCAGTCGTCGACTCGTCGACCATTACGCGTCACATGTCACATTGTGCGCGGGTGCGAAAAAAAAGCACCATGATGATCCATGATGACCATGATGATCATGATGTGATGGATGTCAATGGTGCCATGATGCGAACGGCAATGCCTGTTTCATCTCTGCCGGTAGCCAATGTGTCATCACATGAATCTCTCCAGTGATGTTGGGGGTTTGCTGACCGTCCTGGCGCAGCATGGCGCTTCTGCGAAGCTTCCAAAGTCAACATCTCACTGTTCCTTCTGTTGCATCTCACTTGCCACCAGCTGTTCCACGTTTCCTTTTGCTGTTCCTTCTCAATCTTCTCATGTTCCTTCTCTGTTTTTTTGTTGTTCCTCTGTTCTTCCTGCTGTTCTTTTGCAACTTGTGCTGTGTTCTTCTCATATTTCTTCGTGCGAGAATGCTGTCAACATCTGCCTACCGAAGCGACGGTGAGAAGAACATCATTTATTGTGTGACATGCACCGCGGGGTCGCGGGGTCTTTGATGTTCACCAGCGGGAGCCAAAGGTTCTTGAAGCGCTGCTCCGGATTCGTCAGGAACTGCCTTGACGCAACGAGCAGTGCTGAGTAATTCAAAAAAAAACATGACAATATTGTGAAATTGGACTTCACTTTTCCCCCGTGGTTTCTTTGGCAGTGTGAATACCCTCAGTCTTGGTTTAATGGACTCGAAATGTTGATCTTCATGGGAGGCCTTCACTGGGCTTGAAAAGTAAAGCATATAGAGGGTCACTACTTCTCTTCTTGGATCGTCGAGGGTCATGCTAGACTCTATCTCTATGGGTGGGTGTGGGTGGGTGGAACTCAACCTGAGGCCAGATTGTATGATGAGGTTGCCTCGCATGTACAATCTTTTGTGTAATTTGTTTTAGATATTTTGAGCATTTTTAGCATGCTGCCTCGCCTCAGTACAGTACACTCTGTTGCGTCTCTGTCATTGCAACGGTGGAAATTAGAAAGTTCAGTGACGGATCTTCCGGAACTCTGGGTAAACGCACTCCTCGGTCACTGGAATTTGGATGAGACCAATTCTTGTAGCCGAAAAAACGGCTGCTTGCATCACCTGAAGCCAAAGGATGTGACAAAATGTGGCAAATGCCATCAAATGCCTACCAATTAGGCCTAATGGTCAACACAGGTAGGCACCTCTGCATGTCAACTGCTTACCAGAAATTGACGGCATCTTGGTGTCGTATACGCCTACAGTGTAAAACTCAGAAAACCATGAAAAAGTGAAAGAGGTACTTGCTAGCCGTACTGTCCAGCACACGAACCAAGACAATGCAACAAAATCCCTTCTCTTAGCAGCCTTAGCATCTCCTTCTACCCTTGGCGACTGCTCTACAGTTCCACCAATTCTGAAATTAAAAAGAAAAGCCTGTCCCATCTGTTGGTTTTCGGAAAGGTTTTGAACAATTTCAAGTCCAAGACCGCGTAAAAGGCGCGGCCAATCAACGCCTCAAACTCCAGCAGCAGTCTGGGAAACTTGTCAGGATCGATCATGCCAGTTCGGAACGTCCAGCCTGGAGTGATACGGATGGTGACCACACGGTGCATTGCATTGCGGGTGCAGGCATGGGACCAAAGTGCACTGCGGGATTTTCGAAGTATCACTGATGCAACAGCGATCAAGGTGTGTTGAATCAAACCTCACAAAGCATCATGTCAAGTGATGTCATGTCATGTCAAGTCATATCATGTGGCACGTGCTTCCAAAACTGAGAGGACACAAATGACATACAAATATACACATGACACACTGGATGAGGATTCGGAACTACAAAGAATACAAAACAAATCAAAACAGCATTTTAAAAAATGAAAATCGATGAAAATCGATATTTGATGATATTTGTAGATTTAGGTGATTAGTTTAGGTGATTTTCGTCGTTTTGTCCCAGCTGTCCCAGCTGTCCCACGCCTCCTGCTGCCTCCAGTTCCGACTCCCGGGCCCAGACCGGCGAATCAGTCCCGTTGATAACCTCAGACGTAGCCCAAGGCGTGTGCCATGCGTGTAGCCATGTGTAGCCCTCGTGGATCTGCATGGATCATGGTGCAAGGTGCAAAATGTGTCTGGCTTTGCAAAAGCAATGGCTCCTTGCCCTACGACGTCTGTGGTTTGAACACGAAGGAAAGCATAATGTGGAAACAATATATGACTCAAAGAAAGCTACAGAAACATACAGGCTGCACCAGGCCCAGTCTTCAAAAGGCCAAAGCGATGGAAACCAGAAGAGCAGGGTCAACATTCGAACGATGCCCTTGTGTCCAGAACATGCACAAGCAGATTCCGAATAGATCCGAACAGCATATTGTAATTTATCAATGAATGAGGGAGTGGAGAATGAATGCATGAACGAATGAATGATAATGAAATATAATGAATGAATGGTGAATGAGACTAATTTACCGATATCTTGTTCCCTGAACAAATCACGTCCTGTGGAAATCGATTGAGTGTTAGTACGGTATCTGTAATTTCGGGATCTTTGGGGCGCACATTTATCGAGGAAAATTATGGACTTTGAGGTGACTGATGTTGTAACAGATGTAAATATAGGGCTATCGGTACAGTGTCGTCCTCCGCAGTGAAGGTTTCACACACACCGCAACAAGAGTCAACAAGGGTAAGGCGAGGCAAGACTGAATTGGTGAGACAATATTCTTGTCGGTTGCTCATATAATTCTTGAGTCCTTGAGGATGTCCTGAATACATAGTGGCGTGGAGCAGCTGTGAACTAGATCATGTCGTGTAGTTCAATCGCCTGTGGTGTCAATAGGAGATGGAGATCTTTGGCTCGTGGGTAACCGGATAATTGCGCTTCACACTGGGCCCACAGCATGTTGAACACAGGACCCTTGTCGTATATTTCCACAAAAGCTGCTGGAACAATCTCGCTCTACCACAATTCTACAGAGATAGTTAGATAAGATAGAGATAAGGAAATCCACGGCAAAGTCTATCACAAGGCTCCCAACCGACGAGATTTGTACTTTTTGTCCACGGTAGGGAACAACCTGAAATCTTCCGCATTGCAGGCACAGATCATATGTCAACATCATCAACATATATAAACATATGTCAAAATCAGGCACTGTTCATATGTTCTGCACTGTTCGTTCATATCTGCATATGCACTGTTCACTGTTGCACAAAAATGTTGCACAGTGTTCTGCATTGAAATGTTGTCGTCACAGTTGCATCGCCTCCGGTCGGCCAGGTTTTTCTCCCGGAGCTGCCTGAAACCGCGACAGCCGTGCCACCATGCTCTTGGAAGGCCCGTCGGCCGTGTGTTGGTCGTTGTTCCGTTGCAGCTCAACCATCGCGTTTTCGAGGCAAGGCATGATAGGCGTGTGGCATCATGATCATCATGTAACATCGCGACTTGCTCAGGCAGCAGCTACAGTACAGTAGTAGGTTTTGACATGTCTTGACGCTTTGCAGGCTGAGCAGCAGTTGGCGGTTAGACGGTTAGCAACTGTGCAGCGGAGCCCAACTCTGCAGAGTTCCCATGCCTCCGTTGGATGCAGCATCCGGAAGTTCACAAAGGTAGCGATGGGGCTGCCGTTGGGTGTCTGCTTCGGCATCCGTCCATCCGTAGTTCCCATCAGTTCTGGCCTGAGCTACACCGAACTACGCCGAATGCGGGAAGTTCAGAGAGCAACGCTGAGCTTCTTCGAATCAAACTTGCAACATCTTGCAACCGTTTGCTAAATGCCACAAATGCTCCTGCCAATCAAGCTTGTAATATCTTGTAATCTTCGCTCTAAGCTCCAAGCAAATAGTCCGGGCCCAGCATCTGATTCGACTGCGATGGATCTCCTTCTGTTCGACCCTTGGACCACCTGGAGCAGTCCACAAGGCGTGGCTTTTGCATGTGAAATCAAGTCATGTCGAGCGGCTGTGACATGTCACTCAGTCCAATTCTGAATTATGCATGGCGTCCTATGACATGAAATGAGGAGAGGTTGAATAATATTCCATGGCTGAACCTCTTACACAAGAAACAATCGCAACAAAGTTGAAATGGAACCGAAATTCACATCTTCGCATCTAAAACGTGTCCAACACACGTCAGGATTCTGTAAGAATCGAAGTCCTGACAAATTCCATCATATTCCATCTCTACGAGTCATGCCGTAGAGTTGGATATTTGGCCAAGGGACGACTCATAGAGAGCAATGGGGTCGGATTGCAACACCGTGTTCAAAGCTGACTGCAAAGGCTTCAAGCGACGAGCCTCAACCAACAGCACCTGACGGCGTATCGCACAAATGCAAGTGGGATAAAGTGGCAATGTGAAGTGGCCAACAAAAATACTTTGCACATCTTTGCACGTTTATATGAAAATTAAATCCCTGATGTGACGTTTACATGACGTTTACGTGACGTTTACGAATGTCAAAAGACTCAAAAGGTGTCGCACATGCTATGGCCCAATGGCCGGGTGCCCTTGGACTCTACACTTCAACACATAGGGCATAGGGATTCAAGCACTTCAAATACATACATTATACATAGAGTATACACACTAGATTCCTAGATTCCTACATTTGTTAAATCACAGTGTCTCCAAATTACTGGCCAGGAGGATGCGGAATGTGTCAGAGTTCTTGAAGCTCTTCAGATGCATTTCATCACAGCCAGGCAGCGATGCAACAGCGCAAACACCCAAGAAAAAGGCACCCGGCAGTTTTGTGATATTGGACAACTGGCCAAAATGGTTCCACAAACTGGTTCCACAATCCTTGAAAGACATATGTGTCTCAAGTTTTGATTGGTTACCAATGAATACAATGTCGGAAAAAATTAGAAAAGACAGGCCACCTTTGTGCAGCTTGACATAGCTTGAGGCTTTTAACCCATGGAAATTTACGGGCCTTGTGCCCTTGATTTTCTGTGTCCAATTCGGTCAAGAGACTTCCAGCTGTCCGCCGGATTTGTAGAGCTGCCGTTGCCGTGGAACGGCGGCTGCAGTTTGTTGCTTTTGATACTCCAGCATCTTCGAGGCCTGAGGGCAGCCAGCATCCCAGCATCGGATTGCCGATAATGCTGATTCGTTAACTTGGGTGAGATATGATGAGATATGGTGAGTATGATCTGTTAGATGAGTCTCACTGCTGATTAGATGGATGCAGACTAATACTAAGACCAAGATTACCTAGGTAAAACCTGCCGCCACTACCACAATTACCCTTGTATGCTGTTGCATGTTTGAACCTAAGAGAAAAACTGTGCCTATATGACCATTGTGGAGACCATTGACTACAGCGATTTCACCCTCGCAATTGCAGAGTAGATTTTGAGAAACGATGTAACACTCCCACTATCCCACACTATCCCACACTATCCCACACTATCCCACACTATCCCACACTATCCCACACTATCCCACACTCCCATAATCCAAGGGAACAAGGGAACCTGCTGGTAGTGATCTACTCGGACGCATCGTCGCAACATGGCCACGAAATGGTACATCTCAAACCTCGCAGGTCTCAACATGTCTCAACACGGTCTCACTTGCTGCACTGCGGATGCATCGTATCGATTCGTATCGGTTCGTATCGATTCGTATCGTGTGTATCGCGTCTTCGGGTGTCCGCACTCGTTGGGAAAGCGCAGCCGAACACTGAACTCGTAGGTGCAGCAGGCGGGACTCGCATCTGGTGGCAACGGTCCAGCTGCAAGCCGATACCTCGGCAAATTTTGAAGCTTTCAAAGGTTTTTGTATCATTTCTGTATCATTCTATACATTTTGTTTTTGATGTGCACAATAAAAAGAAGGTTCTAAAGTTCTACACATTACCGGTGTGCTTCAAAGGTGTTTCACATGTCAAAACCTAGCCTTGTGAACACTGAAATAGCTGGTAAATATATGTCCCCCCCAAACTGAGATATTGACTTATCCCTTTACAATGCATATAAAATTTGAATTTCTTAGCACAGTAGCAGCCGGTAAGCAACAAATGGCAACAGTGTCTTGGCGCACCATGATGCACTTCCCGCAATGTATCTAGCATCCCTTTGCACTACGACGCGCAACGAACCCCAAGACTTTTAACACGTTTCTTGCCCTGCATCCAACTTGTTTGAGCAGCACTAGGAACACCGGGCACACAGGATACAAACAAAAACATATAATAATTTTTCTGCACACATCCAGATTTCCACCCTGACATTGAGGAAGTACATCTACTGGGTCAGTGAGTGAGTCTGTGAGTTGGTTTTTTGTCGTCCTTCATTTGGACGTTTCAGTCGGCTCGCTTGACTCATTTGGCTTAACCACCGGCTGAGGTCTTGGCTCGTAGAGCTGGTCTTTGGGTGCGTTCCTCAAACTGGGAACCACCGAAAATACATGGACAAATCGTGGACAAATCGGGCAAACTTGAGGCCAGAGGGTACTAGTGTTGTACCCGGGCCTGCTCAGCTGAAAGAAAAAACTGGAAAAGGAATGTCTAACCACCAAAAGGAAGAGCCGGATTGAGATCCAAACAGAGAAAACGGTTGATGAATAAGATGACGATGACGATGATGATGATGATGAGGACGACAACGACGACGACGACGATGATGATGATGATGATGACGATGATGACGACGATGATGATGATGGCAATGATGATGATGAGGACGACGACGACGAGGAGGAGGAGGATGATGATGATGATGGTGATGATGATGACGATGATGAGGAGGAGGACGACGACGACGATGATGATGATGACGATGATGATGAGGAGGAGGACGACGACGGAGATGATGATGATGACGATGATGATGACGATGACGATGACAATGATGACCATGATGATTATAATGATGATGACGATGATGATGAGGAAGAGGAGGACGACGACGACGACGATGATGATGATGATGACGATGACGATGACGATGATGACCATGATGACCATGATGATGACGACGATGATGATGATGACGATGATGATGAGGAGGAGGACGACGACGACGACAACGATGATGATGACGACGATGACGATGATGACCATGATGATGATAATGATGATGATGATGATGATGATGATGATGATGATGACGATGATGACGACGATGATGATGACAATGATGATGATGATGAGGACGACGACGATGAGGAGGAGGATGATGATGATGATGGTGATGATGATGACGATGATGATGACGATGATGATGAGGAGGAGGACGACGATGATGACGATGATGATGAGGAGGAGGAGGACGACGACGACGACGATGATAATGACGATGACGATGATGACCATGATGATGACAATGATGATGATGATGACGATGATGATGAGGAGGAGGACGACGACGACGACGACAACGATGATGATGACGACGATGACGATGATGACCATGATGATGATGATGATGATGATGGTGATGGTGATGATGATGATGAGGAGGAGGAGGACGACGACGACAACGATGATGATGACGACGATGACGATGATGACCATGATGATGATGATGATGATGATGATGTTGATGACGATGATGATGATGATGATGACGACGATGATGATGATGACGATGATGATGAGGAGGAGGAGGACGACGACGACGACAACGATGATGATGACGACGATGACGATGATGACCATGATGATGATGATGATGATGATGATGATGATGATGATGATGATGATGATGATGGTGATGGTGATGGTGATGATGATGATGGTGGTGATGATGATGATGATACTGCTTAATGAAGATGAAAATGAAGAATGTGAAAACACAGAGGGCGATGAAGATGACAAACCTGCACCTGCCACCAAACCACAGACAGGCGGGGATTGACCCAGGGGGGGAGTATAACCTTAAGTTTCTAGGAATTGGACTACTGCCTACTCCTTGCGCTTCGTGATGTAAATTTGCTACACCCCACCAATTTTGCGCTGTCAAATGATGCAACGCCTTGTTTGTACTCAAAAGGGGTTGGTGGTATTGGCGGGATGAGAGCTTGAAATTGAAGTTAAGAGTGTTTAGAAAATACCATATATTCCAACAGTTTGTCCGACATATATTCTGATAATCCATGTGGCATATGTTCTGACATTTTAGCTCACAGGTGCTCTGACAGTTCACTTCGCCCGTATTCTGACAATTCCTCTGGCATTCTATCTAACACGTATACTGACATTCTAAGTATCATTCTTTCTGGCATTCTATCTGGCAATCTATCCTGGCGATCTATCTGGCATCGAATCTATATAATGTATACGTTGGAATTGTACCTGGCTAACTGGTATCCTGCCTGACCTGACCTGGTATTTTATCTGGCATCCTGCCTGACCTGGCGTGTTATCTGGCATTCTGTCCCCCTCTCTGTCTGGATTTTGTTTCTCGCGGTCTATTTGACTTTCTATATGGAGATTTTTCTGGCATCCTATCTGGCATCCTATCTGACCTATATTCTGACATGTTATTTGTCGTTTTTCACGTTTTATCTCGCATTTTTTCCGGCATTTTTTGTGTCCTTCTGTCCCACCCACCTGACGCTATACCTCGCATCATTCTATCTGACTTTCGATTTAATCAATCTGACATTTTATTTGACGTCCTATCTGGTGTTTTGATATCTTGCATTTTACCTGACATATACTTGAAATTATTTTGACATTTTATCTGGCATTCTATTTGACATTCTAAATTGTTTTCTAACAAAACTGCTCCGGGCAGGCCGACAGACTGCCAGCTGGCCAGATCGGAGCTGGCGATACACTCTGCGAGAAGCAGCAAGAGGAAGATAAGGGAGGAGCAACATGGAGCAACCTACAGCCAAAGACTTTAGTCACAGCAATTTTCTGGAATCACCATGTTCACAATGGGGAGACATCGCTACGACCCCGTCACAGCAGGGTCACGGCAACAATGCAAAACACAATGGGAATGCCTGAAAATTGTCTTCTTTCATTTCACATCGTTGATCATTCTCTCACTCACTCTCTCACTCATTCTCTCACCCATTCTCTCTCTCTCTCTCTCTCTCTCTCGCTCTCTCGTGCATGGATTGCTGGAACGACACTCCTTGGGGAAAGTGGTGCCTGTTCGAACGAGACCCCGAACGAGACCCTTTGGGAACCCTTTTGGCCGATCTGTAGACAATTGGTCAAAAAGCAAAACATGCAGCGGTGTTTTCATTGACTCACTTTCCCTATATTTCTTATAAATAAATATGCATATACTTAATATCTAATCTAATATATATATATATATATATTAGATATGAAGTATATATACATATACATATATATATATATGTCTATTTATATTCCAAATTGCGGACAAGCCCATGATGAAAGTACCCAAACCCTGCACACAGCGATGAAAACAACTCAAACCAATACTGTAATAAAACTTATCACACAATACATAGTCAAAAGTCATGAGAGACTTGGCATGTGGAATTGCAAATGCAAGCTAAATGCTAGAAAAAAACTATTCATTTGGGAATAATTTCACCACAAAAAAACAATACAAATCCCATAGGCACAATGAAAATCGCTACGACCCCCTGGGTATGCTCTCCTGCAACTAATTTAGCTATAGACAGCAAATCGCTATGACTAAAGTCGCTGACTGTATCATAAAATCTAGATACCTTCACGTGGGAGATGGGGAATTAGGCTGGGAGCTTGGGCAATGTTTGAATTGTCCTCTTGCATTTTTCCTGCTTTCATCGCTGCTGTACGCATTTCATTGATTTTGCTGCGTGCGGGTGAGGCTGGAGAAGTTCTGAATAAATACAGTGCGGTGCACTGGGGTTCAACAGTGGCACGGGATTTGTAAGCGGAAAAACGGCCTTGAAATCAGCTGTACGAAAGACTTACTCGCTTCAACCCCTATCCCTCTGAGTGCCGAACTGTGCTGCCTGGCAGCGGCAACCCATGGAATGAACATGCGTTTCTTATTGATAGATTGATTCCAGCCCGAAGTTTATAGAAATGCCCAAATCGCTTGCGAACTCCAATCTGGCTCTGGCGCCGTTTGCTTTTAGGATTCTGAGCAGCCAACCAGTCTAGTACTGCCAAAAAGAACTAGTTCACACACTTGCGTGCATCTTTGCTATATTAACAGGTCCGTCTATGTATGTATCATACCCATCTAGCTACCCACGTACATATGTATCTATCTATCGATCGATCGATCGATTTCTATCGATCTATCTACCTTCTTCTGGTACGATTTTTTTTGGTTACATTTGGGAACCCAACCATTTACAGCTCAGGGCTGGTGGCAGGAGAAACTCTCAAAAGTCAAAGCTGTATTCATGTGCAGTATCGTGAGTTTCTTCGAATTAGAACACTGAATTTACCCGTTTTTTTTTGAAGCCTAACAGATACAATTTGTTTTTGCTACGTGGCCGTGAAAGCAAGGAAAAACCACCGCTTGCTACTCAGGAACTTCTGTTTTTGTGACTTCTCTTGAGGATTGTTTGAAAAGGTGTGCTGCAGGTACAATATTCTAACTGCGGTTAGTCTCTGCAACTCCTTTGCAGAAAACTGCAATAATGCAATGTTGTATAAACATATTCCAAATATATTGTAAAAATAAATTGCAGCTGTAGACTGTGATCTGTTTTGTTTGTTAGCACGCTGTTTGGAACAATATTGTATGTTTATATGTGTATATATATAATATAATAAAAAACAAATATGCATATTGCACATACTTTACAATGCGTATCTATATGTGTATACTTGCGTGGAAGGTTGTGGGTCTGACCAGTATATCGGAGAAGTACTTCCCCCTCCGTTTGCTGGGTAGCTAACCTTAGCGGGCGTCGGTATCGCCTGCGGGCTGGCCATTGCGCGGGGCATTTGGCGGCCTTCATCCTTGTGCTCTGCGGTTCCAGCTCAGGACCACATCAGCATTGCTCGCTTCGCTGCAGTTGACCTAGTCCTGCAGGCATTGCGCTCTGGCACCTGGCCCTGACAGACATTTTGCACTTGGACACCTTGGACATTGACTTCTACTCCAAGGCATTTTCTTTGAAATATTAATTCTCTGGTTTTGCGCTTATCCCACTGGCTGTCTTTGCGACCCTGGCATTTGCGCTTAACATTTCAACTGGATTGGCATTTTACCCTTTGGTCTTGGCCTGCTATTGAGTGATTTTCCTCACTGGCTCCCATTTCACCTTGGTATTTGCCTTATTCTTTGTGGATGCTGTTTTTGATTGTCTTCTTTTACTTCATTGTGAATTTCATCAACATCAGCAACGGCTACGGATTCGAAGAGGCGAAGACAGAGAAGGGCGAGAGCTTCTGCACGAAGATCTTGGTTTCTACATCGGACAGGGCAAAAGACTCTTTCTGGTGGACAACTCGCAAGACTTGCAGTGGCATTATCTACCCATCATTCCAAGGACCACAAGTTCATCCAGAAAGTCAAAGTGGCCTCTTCAGCGATGGACAGTTATCCATGGCGGTGCAGCTGTGGACGCCTGAATGGCAAGCGTCACAATTTCTGCCCGGGTTGCCCATGGAGAACCTCATTCGAACGAGCCCAAGTCACCGAGGAGGGGAGGAGAAGATGCCAAGTGGGATTGGTCCTACTGGAATCAGCGCTCTTCCAAGAAACAAGACCAGGCAAACAAAGATCGGAGCGAGAGTGCAAGGCGCAGAGCCAAGGGCAAAGGCAAAGGACGCAAGGGGAAAGGGCGTGGAGATGCAGAACCTCAAGCCACCTCCATCAGGGTCTGCACAAGCCCCGATTCCACCAAGTCAAGCATCAGCAGCAGTGTCAAACGCAGAATGGCTTGCAGCTGTCATACCCTGACATCACCCAGAACGTAAAGGCGCTGGACTACCAGTACTCTTCTGCGGTGATGCCAATGCTCACCTTGGAGAAGTTCTCACAGATGCAGTTGGTCCACAATATCCATCGTGTGAGAACCAAGCTGGCCATTTCTTCCACAACTGGCTACTCCAACAAGAGCTCTTTGTGCCGGCCACATTTCCCAACTATCACCATGGCCCCGACAATGCCACGTTCACCACCCCAGATGGGCTAGCGGACACGCGCATTGACTACATTGCCATTCCGAAGCATTTTTAAAACCACAACATTGAAGCGAGGGTGGCATTGGACATGATATTAGCATCAGCCGACATGACCATCATGTTGCGCTGTGCCGCTTTGCATTCCGTGTTTCCAAGCCACGGCATTGTAAGGCGAAGCACAAGAATTATAGGCCTGATGTACATGATCTTATGGTCAACTTGCAGCAAGATCAGATGTTTTTCCATCTCCACTCGCTGCTTGCGGCTCCACCTTGGCATCTTGACCCACATGCAAGTGCTGAACAACTGGCAGCCTCGTCAAGGAATGCCCTCCAAACAATTGCGAAGTCACAGCGCCAGTGGAAGAGGAAGACCCACATCTCTTCAGCGACATGGGAATTGGTGGACAGGAATAAGTTTTTGTTCAAGCAACTCCGTGCCCTTAAACGAGTTGAGCTCTTTACGGTGTTACAGGGATGCTTCATTGGTTGGCGGCAACTACACCAAGGTGACTCTCTTCCTGCCCATTCCCGTTCAGTGCTGCATGATCTGAGCACATGGAAGCGACTGCACGATCTCTCCACTGCTCGAACCCAGCTTGATTATCAACAGGCAGCAGGTCAAGCCGAACGGGCCATCAAGGAAGAGGATGCGTGCTATTATCAAGCAATTGCTGATCGAGCTTCCAGAACCCATCAGGCTGAGGGCCTTCAAGGCCTATGGAAACAGATCAGGGCGGTTCAGCCCAAGCACCGCACCAAAAGACAGCACCAGAAGCGCGACATCGATGAAGACTTACTATACACCACTTTGAACAGCTCGAAGCAGGGACGACACTGGCCTGCACAGAGCACAGAAAGTCCTGTTTGCAGCGAAACAAGCAGGAACAGCGATTGGCAGCTCAAACGATGCAACTTTCGTTGAGCGAGCTCCCCACATTGACAGAGATCGAGTACCACTGCCTCAGCCAGAAACAACGGAAGGCCCCTGGGCCGGATGGAATTCCATCCGACCTCTGCAGGTATGGAGCGGCTGCACTTGCACCACAGCTTCGCTCTGTTGTCTGCAAATCCTTCCTGCAAGGAGTTGAGCCGGTGTCGTACAAAGGAGGACATTTGTGTGCCATTTTCAAGGGCAAAGGCGGGCAAAGGCAGCATGGACGAAGCGGCAGGCTACAGATGGATTATTTTGGCAGATTCTTTCGCCAAAGTCACCCACGCTTGGTTGCGGAAACGATTGCTGCCCACATTGCAGCAGAGGAAAACCATCGGCCAGCTCGGGGGTTTGCCATCGCAACAAACCATTACGGGCGTCCAAATCGTCCGTTTGCACAGCATTATTGGGCAAAGCCGCGCAATTTCCACAGCAACTTTGTTCATTGACTTGCGATCGGCATTTCATCACATGCTGCGGGAGCTTGTGTTTGCCACGAACAACAACCTCCTCCAAAACACGCTTGCCAAATTCTTGGACGCCAATGAATCATTGCGACACTATGCAGTGACCTGGATGTGCTCTGTAGTCAGGAGATCAGCGACATCCCGAGCGGACTACGCAGGTTCTTGCACGACATTCACCAGCATGCATGGTTCAGTCTTCAGAACAGTGAGCAAGCAGACTCAGGCCGTTGCACGCCGCACACCCAGCGTGGTACGAGGCCGGGCAGTCCTTTGGCGGACATCGGGTTCAACTTGATGATGACGGACCTGCTGAAAGACATCCACAGTGCATTGATGGAGCCAGACGCATTTCGACAAGGCGCTGAGGCCATCGGCACATACGTGCCGCCTATAGCTTTAGATGGATGATGTAGCAATTTCATTGGCCACGATTTCGGCAACGCAGATGGTTCCATTGATCCAGCATGTTGTTGTTGCAGTGCATCAAGCATTCCGAACAAGAGGCCTTACCATGAACCTCGAGCCCGGCAAAACGGAGGTGGTTGTGATGTTCCGTGGACCTGGTACGACTCAGTGCCGTACCCAACTGTTTGATCGAGATTCTCAACCTCGCATCACGGTTGCCACGGACACACACATTATTGCATTACGAGTGGCATCTTCGTACCGGCATTTGGGTGTCCGATTCGCAATGAATTTGGACATCGGCGAGAGTTGGAGCAGCGAGCCAGGCCGTTGAACAGATGAAGAAGGCAGTTTTTCTCAACTCTGCCCTTCCTCAAACCACGCGCCTTGCCCTTTTCCACAGCCTCGTTTTATCCCGGCTTCTTTATGGATGCGCCATTTGGACTGAAATTTCCAAAGCCTCCTATCGCAAGCTGGACACGTTGGTTACTGATAGCTATAGAAGGATCTGTGGAGTGGGTTTTTGGTCCGCCGACAGAATTTCTGACAGAGACCTTCTCCAGGTTTCGTGTTCTTCTTGCACGACATCGGCTTTGCTACCTACATCACATCGCGCATCACGGCATCACCGCGCACAAGACCCTCCTGTTGGCAGAGTTTGCTACCAACAAAGGATGGCTCTATGAAGTTGCACAAGACCTCCAATGGATGTCCCAACTGCGCACCTTGCCTGTGAAGTGCCAGTTGAACGTCAGCAATGGATTCAAGCTTGGCAAGCGCTGCGTGAATGCAAACAATGGAAACCATGGGTCAAGAGGGCTGTGCTGAAGCACACCACCCAGGAGAAAATTGCCTTTGAAATCAACCAATACCACAAGCAGATTGTCATGGAGCTTGAACGTTTTGGTATGCAACTGGCACCTTGTGAGGACGACACAGTGCGACCAGCATATGGATGTAGGCGCTGCGATGCCTGTTTCCCAACCAGCCAGCAACTCGCGGTTCATGAGTTCAGACTGCATGGGATTCGCACGCAGGAGCGGCACTGTGTCCAATTACAATAGTCTGTCCAGGGTGCTTTAAGACTTTTCAGACCTCGTATCGAGTCTGCCAGCATTTGCGTTACCGCCAGAACCGGTGTTGGGAGCGTATATCTTTGGCGTGCGTGCACCAGGTGAGCAGTGGATATCCAGCTACCTGAGCATTTACAAGGAGTTCACCGCGGAAGCACCATGGCCCCTTGCGCCCCACAGCCTACCACAGAGAAAGACTTCGTGTGCGAGATGAAATCACACGTCTGCAACAAGAAGGAGAAGAAGTCTTTGCATGGTGGGACCCACACAGTGATTTACCGCTGACCTAAAGCTGCATGAAGGAGTTTGAAAGGGCCCTTGATGAATGGGCTGAAGACGATAGCCCTACAGAAGAGCAGTTTCACAACAAGTTCTTCAACCTTTTCTTCAGTCTCCAGGCGCCAGATTTTCAGGTTGCCAGGATTTTCATTCACTGGATCGAGACAGTCTTTTATGACTACATTGCGCGCTTTGCAGAGTGTGACTTGAGGGACACATTGGAAGTAGCGCACCTCTCGTTTCTGTCTGATATTCATTCCTGGAACCTGCGTACGCGCATGAAGCAGCTCCGGAAGCGACTGGGAGCATCTTCAACATGGAGAACCTGATTGGACTCGACAGTGCCTTCCTGACCCGGAGAAGCGGAAGGCTCGAGTGCATCCCTTTCAGGTGGACTACCTCCACCTTGGCCTCGATGAGAAGAAGCGACTTGGATGGCGCATTCTACATCGACCTCAGCGAGTACAGACCCCAGAGCAGGGTCCTTTCTACGTGGTGCATCTCTATGCGGGGAGGCGCAGAGAAGATGATTTCCACGCTTGCATGACTGAGCTTCTCCACTCCAGCCAGCAGCCGTGGGCCCGCAACATTTTAGCCATTTCGATTGATACCGCCATTCACGAGTCCATGAATGTGCATGGCGATCAGCTTTGGGGCTTCTTGCTGTCTGCCGCTAGACCTCCTTGTGAAACCTGGTCCAATGCGAGATTTGCAGTCCTTTAAGATTCAGCTGGCAACGAAATCAAAGGACCCAGGCCACTTCGAAGCGCTGAGTGTTGTTGGGGAATTCATGGCCTTTCCTCAGCAGAACTTCAGCGAGTAGCAGTGGGGAATTCCTTGCTCCTTCGAGGACTATGGCTCTGTGTTGCGGTGGCGTTGACGGGCGGCCCGGTGCTCCTTGAGCACCCTGCGCCACCCTATCAACTGGACAGACCCGCTATATGGAGAACGAGCATCATTTTGTTCCTCCTGCGTGGTGGCTGGCTCTTCTGCAGACACACGTTCAAGCAGGGCATGTTTGGCGCCCATGGTTAAACCAACGACGCTCCTGCATGCAAATTGCCCAATCATTGATGTTCTAGCAGAACAAGCAAGGCCGATGGATCCTTCGCTCCTGGAGACGCTTATAGGGCACGATGGTTCGGGCAAATTCCGAACGGCAAAGGCGAAGGAATATCCTCCGCATCTTTGCAAAAGTTTTGCCATTGCCTTTTTCCGCCATATGTGCTCACTTCAGCATGTGGATCGATGTGAGCAGAATGATCCCATGGCGGAACAATTGGCGCTGCTGTCGAGTAGGGTGGACCCCGCTCGCAGTATGCAGCCGGACTACCAGCCGATGCGCTGAGTAGCAGAATTCATCGCTTGAACGCCGCGAGATTTCCTCAAAGGGCCGACTAAAAATACTTGCGTGGGAATTTAGAAAATTATTTGCGCACATTTTCATACCTACATATATCATCATATATCATGCAATGCAATAGCTACTATATAGCTACTACATGTACACGCAGTTATGTTGTTTACAAGAGATGTATTGGTGATATATCTAGAGGCAATAAAAAAAATAGTTACACTTGAGATTTACACAATTTAAATGCACTTTGCAAAAATGCACATTTACACAATACAGGACCATACATATAGTTTTGGTTTACATATTTATCATCATCTACATTTTTCATTGTACATACGCATTTCCTTGTATTCAATGGAGCTGGGAACTTGATCATTGTTCATCCCTTGATCTATTGAGTACATTATCTTTGGGGTTTCCGTTTCCATATGTGTAAATTCAATATGTCATCCATTTATCTATGCAAATGTATTTTTGCCTTTGTAAACAGATGCTGACGCAGTCCAATTTGCGTTGTAGATTGACAAACTGCGCAAAGTATTGGTGGGCTGTGCGTGCTTTCATGACACTTGAGTTTGGACGTGCGTGTAAGTTTTCCGATGTAAACGCCATAGTCTGTCAACTACAGGTATGCCTCGCTCAAAATGCATGCTCAGAAACTCTTGATCTGCGAGCTCCAGTTTCTGGAGTTCATTGCTTCGAATATTCTATCTGTGGTTTCAAGGGTATGTACAGACAAGCGCAGCTACGTTCACGAGGTTTCCAAATGTACGGTAAAGAGCGTTCATCCTTCTGTTGTATTCTACAAATGCCTGCGAGTGCACATCTATAAATATATTTATATTTATATACGCTTATGTAAAGTTAAACTAGGACGCAAAGGAGCTTTGCACTGATGCTCAAAGCGGCTCGTGACCTTTCCATATTCAGTTGCAAACGGAATCACACATGCGTACAAATCCGCCGGCCTGCCGGCGTGTCTGATTGGAAGGTGTTGTTCTTGTTTCTGTTCTTGGCTTCTACTTGTTCCATTGTTCTCTTGCTGCGCGTCTTTGCTTCGTCTGAATCAAGGTCACCCCCCCTTCCCCCCCTCCCCTAGTACTACTAGTCCTAGTATTAGTCCTAGTACTAGTACTAGTAGTACTACCACTACTACCACCACTAATAGTGCTACTACCACTACTACTACCACTACTACCACTACTACCACTACTACCACTACTACCACTACTACCACTACTACCACTACTACCACTACTACCACTACTACCACTACTACCACTACTCCTACTCCTACGCCTACGCCTGCTCCGACGCCTACTCCGACTCCTCTACTCCTCTACTTCCCGAAGTACTACAGTGGTACAGCCGGTAGCTGATGACGCTGCCTACAGCATTACCGTCGTCTACAGGTACTCGTCACAGGACGCACGCGGTACTGATCGACCAGTACTCATTGGGTATGCGTTCCATTGGTTGTTCAAGCACGCACTTGCTACTCAAGCTGCTTCTGATCTACGGCTCTGTCTTCGTCTCTTCTTCTCTCAGGCTTCCACCTAGCGTGCACGTCAATCTCCCTTGGGGCAATCTCTCTCCGCTTCCACCCTGTCTCGTTCCAGTCAAGCAGAGGCTCATACATAGTACCTGGCGCTACTTTGCTGGGGGCGGTACTAATTTGGAATACGGTCAATAGGTTGTTACAGCAAACCTTGCTACACAAGCCGCTTCCATTTTACGGCTTTGTCTTCGTCTTCCTTTCTTATTCCACCTAGAATGCGCATCAAACTCACTTGGGGCCACCTCTCTATGGCCGGCGGGCTTGCCGAAGGCAATTAAATATGTGTGTGTATATATATATACACATAATACATATAAATACGTGTGTACATACATATTTGTGGGCTATAGGTATGCTGAAATTTCAATATTTAATCCATATGTCACTGTCTGTAGTTTTCAATAAAGTTAAACGTGTATACAACCTGAATCCAGACATAGGAGTACAATGGACTATATACTTATACGGATACGTGTGTATGTTTTACTCGTTCTTTGCATTTTGTCATGTAACCTCTTTCCTAAATCGAAAAAAGTTATATCAATTTTATATCTATATCTTAAAACCAACAATGCACTTACGTATACACATACAGGTTACTTTCAATAATTAATGCATATCTAGTTTCAAATTTCTTTTCTTTTGAAATGACTATATGGGTGTGCATGGTATGCATATAGACATATCCCAATAATTGTGACAAACTTTAAAAACATGTCTATGTGTATATATATATATACAAAATGTAAATTTGCATATGTATCTACGGAAATTACAGTCACAAACAATCAATTCCCGCAATGCACCAGTCTTGTTGTTGTTGGTTTCATGCTTTACTCTGCATTTACTTATACGTACATATATGAGCGCGGCAAACCCTGCCTTTGTCAGCATGGTTGTTGGTTGAGAATACACAAAAATAAAAACCATAAACATTGTGTATGTCATTCGTGAAGAGTCGCATCCTTCGTCTTTGGTAACCGGTATACAGAACAAATCGAGCGCTCGGTTTGAGGACCCCCTGGGAGGAACAGAAAAGCAAATCAAGCAAAAAAAATGGACGGATTTTTCTGTGGCACATGAAAGGTTAGAGGTTTATCTACTCTAATTCTATCTGTTCATGCTAAAATTCTATATCGGTTCAAATTTGTTTGAATCTTCCGATATCTGATTTCGTTATACACATCACATGCTGCCCAACCTCCGCAGACCGCGGGTCGAAGGCGTTCGAGGGCTTCGGTGCCCGCAGCACATCCTCCGTGCTCTTCAACCTAGGGAAGCGTACTGAAAGCATGTTGGAGACGTGTTGAAGACGTGTTGTGGAGACTCAAGATGTGTTGAAGATGTGCTGCCGACATGTTGAGTGTTGAAGACCTGGGACAATTGGATACACAACTGGCACAATCGACCAGATTCAAAGCTAATCACTATACAACAGGGAACATGTTTGCTAATCACTATACAAATGTTGGCCTCAAACGGCCTGGATCGTCGCTTGCATCATCTCATGTCAGTTCTGTGTCTTGGCTATTCCGAAATGATCCCAAATGCACTTGATAAGCTTGCAGTTTGTCAGTTTGGATAACCATTTTGAAATTTGCTCCAAGTACAGGTATTGTCTGTCAACCTGGTTCTGTCAAGGTCCTTTTTGTGACTTCACCATCCATTGTCTTTCCACTGAAAAAGTCACTCCTAGAGAAATGCCAGCAGAAAATGGAAACAGTTGCCTATAGTATCCTACAGTGCTCAAAACTGGAAGCCAGACGCCGAATCATAGACGTTGATGCCTGAGTAGTGAACAGAACCTTGGTCAAAAGTATCAGTCAATGTTTATCGTTCATTTTGCTGCTCTTACAGTTTGATTTGAAAGCAGAAAATAGATGCGTTGTATCCTGCCGCACATCACGGTCATATAAGCCAGGCACCGACCAAAATCTGGGGCACTTTGGTTAGGACATAGCGATCATTCTCCGCTCGAAGCTTTCCAAAGAAAGCAAACCTCAAACAAATCGCTTTCCAAAAATCAGACATGCCAAGCACCGCCACGCTGCGGTAGAAGCATGTTTTGCCAAAAGCTGCACCCAGCTGCAGATTTGTGCTCGAACCCTATGCTTGCAGCCAACCACTTAGGTTCTCGGCTTCCGGGACTTTTGATCCTCCCACTTTTTCATGAAGAGGTCTGTGATCTGACAAATTTCGGCTGTCCAAAGGTACAACGAAGGTACAACGAAGGTACAACAGCTCCGCAAGGATTCATTTTATAGCTGCAGGAAGAAAAATTACTTTCCTTCGAGTGATCCCCACCCTGACAATTATTTGTCATAGTTTCTGGAAGATTCTGGAAGTATATGAGTATATATGGATATCTATATATACGTATATATATATATATTACATGGATTTACATGGTATAATCTTCTGACATTCTATTCTGGCTAATCTATTCTGGCATTCTCTCTGACTTGGGCACTGCCGGACCTCAACCGCGAGCGCCAGATCTCAGTGGGAGGTCCGGCAGTGCCGACTGAGATCTGGAGCCAAACAAAGAGGAAGGAGCAGCGTAACGCTGATAAAATCTAGAGACCCTCACCTGGCAGGTGGGGAACAACAATGAAAATCTCCTGCCCAATGGTTGTATTTGTTTCATCCTTTGATAAGTGTGCTGCTGAAGAACAAATTCACGTTCGGATAGGTTTGGTGTGTTCACATGCCACAGTTGCCGCCATGCAAACCTAACACCCCTGGATGCCTCCAGATCGCAAGTGCCGTCAGCATAGACAGCCAGTACAGTCACCGGCACGTGGCGATTCATGTGTGTCAAATGGCTTACCTTGGCCAAAAAAATATTCGTCCCAATTGCCAACCTGGTTCCGGTCTGATCATCTTAGATTTGCTACCATTAAATGAGTATGTACAGTGATGCACAGTATACATATGCATAAACATGTAATATATATGTATATATATATATGTGAAAATATATGATCTGACACTGAAAGTAAAAGTGAGTAAATGAAAGCGTCGCAAGGCAACTCTGACTGAGACACGACGCTTTCACCATCCGAGGCCCGGACGACAGGTTTGTTCGGCCCGGAGCGGTAGGGCAAGTCGCGATGCTCTCCACGAGCCTCGAGTTACGGTGACATCCGGTGAAAAGCTCCGGGTGCCGGGTCGGGTCGAGTCAGGGTCGTTGAAAAACACCTGTGTAATCACTGTGTAATCTGAAAATTCGCATGTCTCTCATCATCTCATATCGTCATACATAATCTCGCACCATCCCACATCGTCTCACATCATCTCACATGATCTCTCATCAAACCATCACACTCATCAGCATATATACTTCAATCACATTATCATACTGACAAAATCTGACATGGATGGAATAGGAACAGAAAGTACTTGCAAAGTCTTCTGAAACCAAGCCCTTTGCGACTCCCTTTGCGAAGTCGTCCATAATCCGAGTCCAAAAGCCTGATTTGTGCTGGTCCTGCAACTAACATCGCGCAAGCACTCATTGGCCCCAAAACAAATCAGAAGTGTTCAAGGCTTTCGAAATCATGCACTCTGCAATCTGCATGCTCCAACCCACAAGATTTTTGGACACTATACTCCCACATTTCGTAAAGGCTTTTCGTTTTGCGACACCCTGCGATGCAGCTCCGAGAAAACTCAGTCCACAAAATCTTTCTCCGACAGCGGCAAGACCTGGTACACTGTGCACAAGTGTCACGACATGTCACGACATGTCACGACATGTCACGACTTGCTCGAGGCACAAGCACGTAACGGTGACGTAACGGTGACGCAACAGTGACGTAACACGATGTGTCCGATGTCGGAGACAATTAGAGAGTGATTCCGTGTCTTTGGTTCGTTCAAGTGACGTGTTGCAAAAGCAACGATTCCATGTTAACTAGAAGAGTTTATGCCGTTTATGCCATGTGTTTGTGTTGCACCCTTGGAGCAAGTTCCGCGTGGATGTCACCAACGCAATACTTCATTAACTTCACCAAAGAGCTAAGGGCTACAGCCCAAGAACTACCATCTATTAACCCATCCATCTACCATCTTCACCGTCTTCAACTTAGTATACCAACTACACCTTGACGGTTCGCCGATAGGTATAGGAAAGTAGTGGCATCAGATTAAGAACAGTGTATCAGATGTATCACATACAATTTCAACCCGCCGCTATGTTGCAACGTCTTTAGAAATATTCGCTCGATACAGATCTCTGACCAACTCAGCAGAAACTCAGCACCAGGCATACTTGTGAGGCATGATGTCATCGCAAAAGGTAGGAATGAAACTCCTGGCAAAACATGGACGATAAGGGACGAATGGCCAACAGCACGGATAACCTGCATGGAGGCTGCAAAATCGAACTGAGCACCGTTGCAGTTCGTGATGTTGCCAGATGTTGCCAGAATTCAGAGAATGAAATGACCGCTGGAGGATGTACCATGATGAAACATGATGAAACCAGCCTAGGGCCTAGACTCTACCCAGTCGTCCCACAGCAACGTCCAGGAACCTTTCGGATGATACATCATGATACATCATGATACATCTACTTGAACAAGATCCAATGATCTACTTGAAATCCAAGCCAGCAGTTCTGCTTGAAAGGGCGTTTCGGCACCTCGGTGCGGCTGCACGAACAACAAACCGAACTGCGAACTTTGCAGTTGGCGAACACGTTGATGTGCAAAACGTGCAAAACGTGCAATTGGCAGATCGTTTTGCAACTCGTCAGTTCTACAATTTTGCTGTTCGTCAGTTTTGCTCGTTTTGGTGAGTCTCCGACGAGTTCGCCAAGGCCGCTGTCGGCATATTCGCTGCTGAGGCAAGGCTCTCGCAACGGAGCACCCGGAGCACCCCACTCCTGAGGCAAGGCGCAGCGCCGAGCAAGATGAGCAAGCGCAGAGCAAGGTGCACAGCTGAGAACTGCGTCATGCTACCGAGAGCCATGTCTTGTGATATCTCATGCCACTCGTGTAACTCATGTTACTCGTGTCGTGTCGCAGGTGTCTTTTCCCAAGTCTCTCCTCGTCTCAATTACTCAATTCTCCCTCCCAGAGTCAATTCGCTCTGCTTTCATCTCTGTCTCACTCAAAGCTCTCAGAATAGCTCTCAGAAGGCTCGCTCTCAGAGTATTTCTGTGGCTCGCTTTGTCCGACCGACTCCGTCCGTCCTTCTTCTTTGCTGAGAACTCGCCCACGCAGAACTGCTTTCGGAACTCGCTGGCATCTTTGGGGTAGCTGAAAGGCCTAGGGAGGGAGGCAGGTCACGGCAGGTCACTGATATCACGGGCGGACATCATTGGAAGAGGTTGCACAGGTTGCACAGGTTGCACAGGTTGCACAGGTTGCACAGGTCGCACAGGTTGGGGACACAATGGATGGACACTGAATTCATCAATTTCACAGTGCATGGGTTTGGTCACTCCAGTTGAGCCCCTTGGCGAGCCCCTTGGCATCTCTTGACTGCATGTGTCTGATGCGTCCAGCCCTGAAAACAAAAAGTAGCCAAGGTGACACATCAAGTACGAATCCTCGCTCGCCCATGCAATGCAAACATAGTTGAACAATGGCGTTCGCAGTATTGATCACATAATTTCACATCACTTCGTTCGGGATGGGATCGTTGGGGTGGGTAGTTGATGTAATTTTATATGTATTTCATGTATAATTCATGTCGTTTTATGTTTGATTTTGGGGCGCGGAGGCCATGGCCTATATACGCCACACTGAAATACCTTTCTGATACCTTTTTTGACACCTGTAATGACATCAGAAATTGCATCAGTCATGACAAAGATGATCCAGATGGCACCAAATCATCACAAGTTCACTGTGGTCCAAGGCCACACGGGTTCACACGAGGCCACGCACTGCTTTGGGGCCTGGCTCTTCAAGAATCAGCATGGCCTGACACTTTCGACGCTTTCTTCTGCCACTTATTCAAAACCAAAGTTCAAAATGCGTAAAGAAAAGATATTGGAAAAATATAGGAAAACGACTCGACTATTCCCAAGGTCATGAAGTAAAACCATGTAAAACACCCCACTCATCCCCACTCTGCTTGTGGATCGCAACAGCGCCTTGTCACCCACGCAGAGGGAACTGCGCTGACTGGTTTGACCCATCGTGGCCTCAGCGACTCTGGGACTGACTGGGACTGTCATGACATGAAACGAGATGTGCTGAGTCAGCGATGAGATGTGATAAGTGATCCAATGTGATGATTGTGGTGACATGACATAGCCCATGACACAAGGCCGGAACGTGGGTTTGATGTGACAACTGTGAGTGTGAGTGTGAGTGAGAGAGTGTGAGTGAGAGAGTGTGAGTGAGAGAGTGCGAGTGAGAGAGTGCGAGTGAGAGAGTGCGCGTGAGAGAGTGCGAGTGAGAGAGTGCGAGTGAGAGAGTGCGAGTGAGAGAGTGCGAGTGAGAGAGTGTGAGTGAGAGAGTGTGAGTGAGAGAGTGTGAGTGAGAGAGTGTGAGTGAGAGAGTGTGAGTGAGAGAGTGTGAGTGAGAGAGTGCGAGTGAGAGAGTGCGAGTGAGAGAGTGCGAGTGAGAGAGTGCGAGTGAGAGAGTGTGAGTGAGAGAGTGTGAGTGAGAGAGTGTGAGTGAGAGAGTGTGAGTGAGAGAGTGTGAGTGAGAGAGTGTGAGTGAGAGAGTGCGAGTGAGAGAGTGCGAGTGAGAGAGTGGGAGTGAGAGAGTGGGAGTGAGAGAGTGCGAGTGAGAGAGTGCGAGTGAGAGAGTGCGAGTGAGAGAGTGTGAGTGAGAGAGTGTGAGTGAGAGAGTGTGAGAGAGTGTGAGTGAGAGAGTGTGAGAGAGTGTGAGTGAGAGAGTGTGAGTGAGAGAGTGTGAGTGAGAGAGTGTGAGTGAGAGAGTGTGAGTGAGAGAGTGCGAGTTTGACTGAGAGAGTGTGAGTGAAAAGGCGAGTGACAGAGTCGAGTGACAGAGGTGCGTAGTGATAAGAGTGTGACGTGTGGGGGGGGGAAAAAAAAGATAAGTGTGAGTGAGAGAGTGGTGAGTGAGAGAGTGGTGAGTGATAGAGTTCGATTGAGAAGTGCGATTGAAGAGTGCGATTGAAGAGAGGTCGAGGAGAGATTGCGAGTGAGAAGTGGTTGTGAGAGGAGTGTGTTGTGAGAGAGTGTGAGTGATAGAGTGTGAGTGAGAGAGTGTGAGTGAGAGAGTGTGAGTGAGAGAGTGTGAGTGAGAGAGTGTGAGTGAGAGAGTGTGAGTGAGAGAGTGTGAGTGAGAGAGTGCGAGTGAGAGAGTGCGAGTGAGAGAGTGGGAGTGAGAGAGTGGGAGTGAGAGAGTGCGAGTGAGAGAGTGCGAGTGAGAGAGTGCGAGTGAGAGAGTGTGAGTGAGAGAGTGTGAGTGAGAGAGTGTGAGAGAGTGTGAGTGAGAGAGTGTGAGAGAGTGTGAGTGAGAGAGTGTGTGTGTGTGTGAGAGTGTGTGTGTGAGAGTGTGTGTGTGAGAGAGTGTGTGTGTGCGAGAGTGTGTGTGTGTGTGTGCGAGTGGGTGTGTGTGTGTGTGTGTGCGTGCGAGTGTGTGTGTGCGAGTGTGTGTGTGTGTGCGAGTGTGTGTGTGTGTGCGTGTGTGTGTGTGTGTGTGTGTGTGTGTGTGTGTGCGAGTGTGTGTGTGTGTGCGCGAGTGTGTGTGTGTGCGCGAGTGTGTGTGAGGGTGTGTGAGGGTGTGTGAGGGTGTGTGACGGTGTGTGAGAGTGCATGAGAGTGCATGAGAGTGCATGAGAGTGCATGAGAGTGCATGAGAGTGCATGAGAGTGCATGAGTGTGTGAGAGTGTGTGTGTGAGAGTGTGTGAGAGTGTGTGTGAGAGTGTGTGTGAGTGTGTGTGTGTGTGAGAGTGTGTGTGAGAGTGTGTGTGAGAGTGTGTGTGAGAGTGTGTGTGAGAGTGTGTGTGAGAGTGTGTGTGAGTGTGTGTGAGAGTGTGTGTGAGAGTGTGTGTGAGAGTGTGTGTGAGAGTGCGTGTGAGAGTGTGTGTGAGAGTGTGTGTGAGAGTGTGTGTGAGTGTGTGTGTGTGTATGTGTGTGTGTGTATGTGTGTGTGTGTTTTTTTACTACCCCTACATCCCCTCTTCTCCGAGATGGCAGGCAAGCCCACATCGATGTTGTTATCGATGGCCACCAGGAGGACCAAATTTTGACGTCCGTTGGTCTCCGGTGGTCTTATCAGACCTTTGATCCCCTTAGGGAAAACGGGAAAGTCCAAAAGTTCATCACCTATTGATAGTGTTGAACGGACGATCCATGGAGAAAAGAAATCAAATTGAAAACGCAGTATAGGACAGAGTCAAAGCCGGTAGTTGTTGGCAGTGATCAAATGACCTAAGGAAGGAAAATCAAATAGGGATGGTGAGATGAAACCTAAGCCTCTCAGCCCCTCAGTGCAGATGGCAGCGCCACACCGCAGCGCAATCAGCCGCAGAAGACAGCAGCTGCAGGAACCCACGCTCACCGCAGCAATGCCAAGAAGCCGCCGCCGCCGCGCGAAGCCACGCTGCAGCCCAGTTCAGCCGCTCAGCTGCCTGCTGTTGCCAGAGCAGTGCGTCCCAGGTTGCTTCGTGCCCGACGCCTGACAGTATCATCAGTTAGTGGCAGCAGCATGAACATGACAATGTTTGCCCGGATCAATTCAGGTAATTCAGTGAATCTTTCGGGAATAGCATTGTCCTCATACGCCAGCCATTGATCATTGTATCGCACAACAGCTCTGTAGTGCCCAGAAGTGGGCGTAGCGCCCAAATGAAAAACGAAACCAGCAATCACAAATGGAAAGAAGTGCACTGTGCCATCTGTCTGAAAAACTGGAAATCGAATCTGGCTTCCAAACTCAAGCTGTTGCATACATGTCTGCGAAAAATCAATGAATCGACTGATCTGTAAGATGAGAACGCTGTCTGCCTGGAGTGCTGCACGACAAACACCTAGGGCATCATTCCAGTGATCAATCAAATGTTGAAGTGTGCAAGTGAGAAGAGAAGGATCAAAAATGGGAATCTGGATCAGACCGTGTTGTGAACCTTTTTCTGATCCATCTCGCAGATCGTCGTCCCCAACATCGCGCAGGTGCTGAGCCACCCATCTGTTGTTCACAAAAGGAGGCATTGTCCGTGCCAAAAACCATTGAAGGAATTCACACGCATCCTGCTGGTGATAAAGATCCCCCTCCTGCCATCCATGGCCAAGAAGCCAAACCAGAGGTCTAAATGATCTCAGGCACAGCGGCATCCAAGCATTGGTTGACAAGCTTCTGAACAGCTCAAAGCCACCAACTGGCCAAAAGTGGACGTGTAGAGCATCCATACAAAGTATGATCCACAAGAGACATTGAAGGCTGGCATTGAAGTAGCAGCTGTTGCCAGGGTTGGCTAGTAGTCTCACCTGTCGGTGTTCAAGGCTCTCTGCACGGCCTTCGAGAGCTGGGTTCTCTCCGTCGTTTGTGGGCGTATCTGCACCCCTATCAGCAGCCAGGAAGCATGATAGCATAATCGACGGATTTCGAACCAGGCCTCCAAGTTGTGACGGTTGCTCAGGAGCCACAACCACGGGATTGCTTTGTCCGTGGAGTCTGTTGTCTTCACCAGACTGTGGAACCTCAAAGTCGTGGTGGGGTCCTGTACCAACCGAAGCAGATTCTGATAGGAGCGTACCACCTCCTGAATCGAAAGCGTGGCATCCTTCGACTGCTCCAACTTCTTGGCCTTCTCGTTCCACCTCAGGAAAGGCATATTGCCCTGGCCATCGATCAGCCCTCTTTTCTGACAGGCCTGCCAGAGTGGCTCCTGTGGATTCGACTTGGACAGCGTCTCCACCTTCGCTAGCACCGTCTGGATCATCAATGATGACAAGACATGTCGGAGGGATGTTGTTTTCTCCTCCTGGTGCCACTTCTTCGAGGCCGCCAGCATGATCGGAATGATGCTTTCTGGCCCCGGCTGCAAATGCATCACGAATTGATGCTCCTGCAGGACCTGGTTCACCGTGTCTTCTGTTCGAAGAGCCAGCCTTGCTACCATCTGTAGAAGTTGGTCCTGCGACCCCTGCCCCTTTCGGGGTGCATTCTTCCCAGGGCGATGTCTCTTTGGATGTGGTGAATCCGGTGAGTCGATCCCCAAGGCGGCCATTTGCTGTGCCGTAAGAACGTTCTTCCAGATGTCTTCTGCTGACATAGGTGGGTGAGCCATTGGTCAGGAAGATGGCGAGGTGCAAGAGAGGAAGACACTTGCGTCCAAGTTCAGGGCTGTGTTCAAATTGAGCACAAAAGGAGCACGGAGTGTCATCTGTGATCATACTGCGCAATTGTAAGCGATGGTAGCACAAAAATGTGTCCAGCTGTCTGAAATCGTGTTGCAAAAGATGTTGCATGAATTTCCACTGTGTGAAAAAGACTTTGCCGCACATCAAACATTTGTATTGTAACATTTCCAGAAAAGTGGAATCGCTGGCAAGGGACAAGCCACCCATCGCAAGTGTTTCGAATGAAAGGCCAAACATGTCATCTGAGGCTGAGGGTCCAACATTGAAAAGTGCCAGTTGTCGCTCCAATCGTAGACGAGATCGATCAACCTCATCGCAAGAAGGCCAGTCACCAAATTCAAAGGGTCTTTGGTGCCACATAGGAAAGGCCAGCATCAATGCCACCAGCGCAATGAAAGGACAATCACTCATGTGTCGTTCAGGCTGTGGCGTGATGTCATAATTGGCCTCAACTGATGGCATCAACGTGCCGCAGTGTTCACACCAAAAATCTGTGGAAGGATGTGCCGCAATCGCAACTTTGGCCAATTGATCAATGATGGCTTTCAGACTCCTGATGTTGAAATTGTGGCAGGTCCTGACATGCTCCAAGGCCCTGTGCAGCGGAACAGCTTCATGGCACATCAAGCATTGACTGATCAAGAGCCTGTGAACATCACGACTGAGCAGCAATGTATCAAACTGCCTAGCCATCATCATTGCAGTCACTCTCGCAAGAGCAGGGCCAGAAAGCAGTGGTCCGAGGATGTCCATCAGGTCAGTGGCTCTGAAGCTCCAAGGAATCGTCACCGGAGCATTGTCCTGCGTGATCAGCAGCGCAAGCTGAGTGAGCATAGGACAGATATGGCCTTCAGTTCCATGGTTCACTGCTGGATTGCACAAACAGCCATGTGCTGCAAATAAGACCCACAGGAGAAGACGGATCCAGTCATCACTGTCCCTCACTGCTGCAGCATGTTCAGAGCGTAGGTGGCTCAACAGCAAATCTGATGATGTGAACCGCTCATCACAAAGCTGACATCGTAGGGTCAATGCAAGCTTCAGGGCCGGGCGCAGAACCAGCAAGTTCAGCAGGCCAAGCCACGCCAGCTGCAGAATGACCTCTTTCGGCTGCAGCAAGAGATCAGCAGGCACGTCCGCCGTCGTCGGGGCATCAGGGGCATCTGTCAGCTGTATCCTCAAAAGGGCATACTGTATGAAGACCAGGCACAAATGTTTTCTTTGAGGAATCACTGGAATGCAATAGCATTGATTTGGTAATTTCCATCTGGCATCGTGTGTGATGGCATCATGTTCACCTCTGTGCCAAAGTGTGGCATGTTGAGTTCGAAAATGTCGCATCAATTCATTTCTGCGTCCAAATTTTGCATAACATAAGAGGCACTGTTGAGACATCAGCTCCGCAATGGCAGGATGCTCCAATAGCGCAGCGCACGATGCTTGCTCCACCGCCTGTGAGATCAGGCAGTGCGCATCGAAATGGTCATCTGTCAGAGTTGTACCAGCCTGCAGTGCATCATGAAAGCGACGCAAATGCTGCTGTAGGCCATGACGGGTCACAAATACCTTGGAGCATTGTTTGCATGGGAAGGTTTCTGCAATCATGGCGTGTTCTCTGGGCAGATGCTGTCCACTGGCATGTAGATGCATTGCACATTGTCGCAAAATTGGGCAGTGATGCATGCGTCGGAAACTGGTGCCACAAATCACGCAAGGATTCTGAGTGCCAACTTGTTGATGCAAAAAGTCGTTCCAGGGGCCATGTTTGCGATATGTGTCAGGGTGTTCACGTCCCCAATGCATCAAAAGGCCACGAACGCTGGACACAAATTGACCACAGATGATACATCTCTGAAGAAAATATGTGATCAGCGTGTTGTTCAGGCAGAGTGCCACATAGTTCATGGCATAGATGTATTGGAGAAACTCCCGGACTCGAAGCCGGTGTTCAGGATCATCATCCTCCTGTCTGGATTCAATGCATACAAAACGCACATGATATTGAAGACTTGCCCAAGTGGTGAATGGCATGTCGCATCGTGCACATGTTGGGACACCTGTGACACTGTCTGCAATATTGTATGGGCGCAGTTGTCCTGATCGGCGTTCATGTGCCGTGGTCCAGTGCCTACGAAGAAGTGCCATATTTGTAAAGGTCTGTTGACAGATCTGGCATTGGAACTGATGAAAGTCAGCCTCAGGGATCTGTGCTCGATTTCTACGTAGGCAAAGCGCAGCGTCAAAGACCTGAGAAATTTGGTCCATTGATTGAACTGGTTTGTGTCGCAGGATGTCATCAGGAGCCAGCTGTTGAAATCTTTGAGTTTCACGCTGAATGGCAATCTCACACTGACGTCGAAAACGATGCAGCGGGTCTGGGATGTTGTGCTCTGCTAAAAAGTCAGCATGTGAAGTATGTGTGATGTGAACAGGTGACCTGAAAATCCTGCGAATGTGCTGCATGCATGTTTGATCCAGTAGTTGGAGGATGTGAATGTCGATGCCGGTGATTCTGAGTCCATAAATAAGGCTTGGGAACGTACACTGGTACCAGAGTCGTAGCTTTTGGGTGGGGGTAAGCCCCTTCTGTTTGTGAAGCCATCTGCTAAGTTGATGAGTAACCGCAGTTCCCGCTTTGATCCTGTGTCTGACGGTCAATAAAGCAAAATTGGAGTAGCTCATCACAACACCCAAATAGGTGAACTGTTTGACAAGTTGGACATGCACAGGGCCATGTTGACAAGGAATGCACAAGAAGGTGCCATCTCTGGTACGTTTGATGTACTGCTTATTCAAAATGTTGGCTGTGCGTCCAAGAATTTTGTAGACAGCAACCGTTTTGCTCATGTTCACAGTCAAGCCTGCTGTTGTGAGAATGTCCAAAAACTTGCCAATATGGGTTAGGGATCTCTTCACATCATCAACTCCATTGCAAAGACAGTGTAGACAGAAATCGTCTGCGAAGACTGTTATGGACTGTGAGATCCACTCCCAATTCACTGCCGCAGCAGTGTTCTCGAGAATCACTGCTGCAAAACTCGCCCACAAAATCGGAGCGGCTTTACAGCCTTGTCGTATGCCTTGTTTCGTCGGGACAGATCGTGTGTGCCCCCGGTGCTGAAATGAAAAGCAAGTTTCTGAATAAATTTGTGTCAACATCTTCACCAAATTTATGTCCACCTGGAGTTGATGCAATGTTTCGAAAAGTCTTGAGCGACACACATTGTCGAAGGCCTTCGTAAGGTCGAGGCTCAGCATCAGTCCTCCATGTGCTTCAGAAAAATGGGATTGTTGTGCCATGTTGTGTATGCAGTACTTGCTATTGTCAGTAAGATGCCTGACCTGTTGACAGTGGTCTCGTACTCGTCGTAGAGCATCATCTCCACCACGACCTCCCAAATAGGCAAATTGTGGCAGTCTAAAAAGACGTGCTGACACCTGTTGAAATAGGTGAGAGGCAAACAGGCCCAGGGAGCACTTACCTGTCGGTTCCAGAAGAGCAATAGGACGAAGTTCAGCAGGGGTGCAACCCTTTTTGCCCGGCTTTGGAAGGAATATTAGTTCTCCATGACTCCAGCACTTGGGGAGTGTACCAAATCGTCCACTGTCAAGCAAGAAAGGATGAAGAATTTCAGAAATTGAGGGAGCAGCCATTTTCCACATCGGCGCCGGAGCATATGAAGATGCCAGGGCCTTGAAACCAGGAAGCTGTTGTAGTGACCATGTCAGTTCATCTTCACTGAAGGGCCATTCAAAGTTTCCAATGGGCAGTGGTACATCAGTTGCATCATACAGTTGAGTGAACCACTGTTGAAGAAGATCGGCTGAAGCCGCAGGTCCCAAGAGCTCACCTGTCGAAGATCGCAGTTGAATGCGTTGATAAGGCTGTTTTGGTGCCAACTCACGTATCGCTTGATAGAAACCAAAGTGATCTCTGGCATGTGCAGCTTGTGTGGCAATATCATAGATGTGCTGCAGTTTGCGTTTGTGAGCTGCCTTGGTGGTGGCATTCATGCGCATTCTGGCTTGTCGACGGTGGTGACAATGACGCCATGCCTGAAACAAGTTCTGCAATGTCAATGGGGCTCCATGGAGTTCACGTAGGCAAGCTGTGTGATGCTGAAAATGTTTAAAAGGACTCAAGTCAAAACATGTAGTCGGAACTGCCTGTGTCTTCTTGTAGGTGGAGCCATCAAATTGATTCATACAGTGATGCACCGCTGTCAGTCGATCCTCTGCATGTTCAGGTATGGTTTGCAGGTGCTGGTGTAACCGTGTGTGCAGTTCTTGGGCATGAAGGTCCTGATTCTTCCAGTGCAAGTATAGTTCCTTACGTTGTGTCCGTGTCCACCCAGAGGTCGGAACTGGTTGTTCAGGAATCCATACCTTGCGTATGCTGCACATCAACGGCACATGTGTAGCTCCAGAAAGATTCAGCAATGGGAAGTCATGCAAATAATGAACTTCTCGAGCTTGCTTGTCAACCATGTGTTGTTGAATACAAAGAAAATCAATGCGTGAGTGCTGGTGCAAAAATTTGTACGTCGGTCCAAGTTGATGACACCATGTATTGAGGGCAGTCATGTGGTTGATTCGAAGTAAATTTTGAAACTGACATGCATCACTGTGGGTCGGACCCAGGCATCTTGTCTGTTCCACCAAGTAGGTAGGGAGACCTACCGCAGCGCTCTTTGTGGTCAAAGAAGTGTTGAAATCACCAGCCAAATACCATGTGTTGCGCTTGGGCAAAGTGGAAAATAGTCCATGCAGGGAATCCCAGATGTCCAGGCGTTCATCAAGTCGAGTCACATGATGAACATGTTGATAGATGTTGATGATGTCAATGCAACGATGTTGACCATGTATACGTGCATGCATCAACCTACCTGGATGTACCTCTTGCCAAGAAATGGAGTTCTGATGGCACAATCGCTTGGAGATCATAGTCAGAATGCCGGCCTGTCGGCCAGCAACCCCAGAGTGCAGGCAGTAGTATTGCTCCTGTACCCATTCTCGACAATAAGGCCAGTGAC